GTAACTGAGGAAGTTGAGGCCCGGTGCTGCTTTCTCTGCCAGCACCATTTGTGATGGTGGCTGCTCTAGGCGGGCAGGGCCGTGGCACTGTACGGAGCAGAGCAGGCTCCCAGGCTCCCAGGCTCCCGCCTGTCTGACGTGGGTGTGGGTGGGGCTCTGCCCCCTGATGGATGCAGGTGCTGAGCTGGCGTCTCCTTCTCCCTTCGGCCCTGCCACACTCACTGTCCCTGTGGCTGGTGCTGCTCCTTACACTCATTCCCTTCTGCCTTCCCCTTCTTTTTTTGGCCGGTCGTGGGGCTTGAACTCTGGGCCTGGGCGCTGTCCCTCAGCTCTTCAGCTCAAGGCTAGCGCTCTACCACCTGAACAACAGTGCCACTTGCATTTTTCTGAGTTGTGTATTGGAGATGAGTCTCCCAGACTTTCCTGTCCAGGCTGGCTTTGAACCGCAATCCTCAGATCTCAGTCTCCTGAGTAGCTAGGATGACAGGTGTGAGCCACTGGCTCCCGGCTGCCTTCCCTTTCTTACCTGTAATGTAATGTGGTGAACTCCTCCCAGGTCCCCATGCACCCTAGGATCTCTCTCGACTGAGCACCTACGTCTTGCTCCGTGCCGGCCCTGCCCCACTCCCAGCTGTTTTAATGCTATGCTCATCGTGTGATTCCTTTTGAAGTATGGGCCTCACGGTGCTTCTGGTCATGTGCTTGAGCTTCTTTTGTTTTGTCTTATTTTTGGCATGGTGTATGAAGTTTTAGGAGCTTTTTTATTTGGTTGGTTGATTTGTGTGTGTGTGTGTTTGTGTGTGAAAACTGTTCATGTTTGTAGGCACAAATGGTTTGTTCATTTCCCTTGCTGTGTAGTCTTCCAGGTTAGAAGTATTTCAAGTCTGGCTGGTGTGTTTTCTGTTAGCATCTGGGTTTTTAGAGGACAGTTACTGCATTCCTATGCTTACCTCCCAGGACCTCCAGCTTCTCCAAAGGATATGTCTGTAGTATTTATATGGGTCACACATGTGTGCATTTGTATGTGTGTGGTGCACATGTGTTGTGAATACATGTATATTTGTATATCTGTGCATGTGTCATATGTGTACATTCATGTTTATGATGCCCGCATGTGTGTCCTGAATCTGCATACCTGTGTCTGTTGTGTGTGTGTGTCACACATGTGCACATGTGGTGTGTGTGTTGTGAACATAGGTGTGCATGTACATGTACCTGTGCCTGTGGTGTTTAGGTGTTGCGCATGTGTGTGTGTTCACATGTCTGTGATGTATGCGTTGTGTCCATGGGCTTTCAAGTGCATGTGTGTATAGAAGTCCCTTTTGTGTGTGCACCAGCTGTGAGGCCTTGCAGCTACCATCAATGGACATGTCTCTGTGACTCTGTTCTATGTTCTTTAGTCAACGAACCAGGCCAGCCTCATTTCTCAATATTGCGAGGGAAGGTAGAATATGCCTCTGATTAGGCTTGAGGCTGAAATGCCTGTCTGCATTCAGGCAGGGACTTGTGTTCTTGTTGGGGGGGTGGCATCATGTCGTCCTCTCTCTGCTGGCATGAAGTTTGTTCTTAGAGGGGAGGAGCTGTTAGCAGCTGGCCCTAAGGTAATGGAAGTCCCTGGGGTCAGCACACAAGCCTGTTTCCATGACTGAAGTTTCCTCAGTGTGTGTCCTGCCAGCTGCTTGGTTTGTAGGGTTAGACGTGGGTTTCAGGCGAGGGTCCTCCGCCCATAATCCAGCATCTTTCTGAACTCACCACAAGGAATAGGCACAGGGGATGTGTGCCTTAGAGGTCCCTGGTGACCCCAGACATGGTCAGGGCCTGGACTAGGGACAGAGATAGGCAAGGGCCACCAGGAAGCTCTGGACTCTCCCAGCAATGGTGATAGATACGGTGAACTGAGGACACAAGGGAGGGTGGGCTGGAAGGATGGGACGGGAGGGGAGGACTCCCTGTGGGATTCTCGGTGGAGACTGGACACTAGGCTTGACAGCTCAGAAGTGGCTTGGTGGGAGAGTAGGCTGAGCAGTGAGATTTGGAGTGAGTGTAAGGCACAGGAATCCCAGAGAAGAGAGAAAGGAGCAGAGTCCCTCCCACCCCACTGGGCTTGGGGTAGCCAGCAGGGGCTGGGAGTGGGTGGAGATCAGCCTGGTATCTGGCCCGGGCACCTGCAGTGTGACACACACCCCGAGCCAAGACTGGTCACCCAAGTGCAAGGTGGGAGGCGGGGCTCCTGTGTGAGGAGTCAATCAGTGCAAGGCGGGAGGCGGGGCTCCTGTGTGAGGAGCCAATCAGTGAAAGGCGGGAGGCGGGGCTCCTGTATGAGGAGTCAATCAGTGCAAGGCGGGAGGCGGGGCTCCTGTGTGAGGAGCCAATCAGTGCAAGGCGGGAGGCGGGGCTCCTGTGTTAGCAATCCGTTTTTGTATTCTGATGACTAGAAAAATGTATTTAAAATCAAGCAGTATTCCAGAAGAATTGCACTATGTTGTTGCTTCCTTAAAGGATGGGCCAGCAAGGAATGCGTTCCTGGCAAGCCCAGTGTACCCTGGCCTCCTGGATGCTGTCGCCATATCTGTGGGAGAGCAGGGCAGTGAGGCCAGACCGAGCACTGTGCGGGGACCATGCTAGCACTTCACCTCTGTCTGTAACTGTTCAAGTGAGCTTCCTTCTAAATTCCATAGGCAGTTAAGTTCAGCATTGCCTACATCACTAAACATTATTTCAAGTGTGAGATTGGATGGTTCAGCTATGGAAGGACGTGTGTAGGTCTGTCTGATCATCTGCCTCCTTTAGAAAATTCATGCTTTCTTTCTGAGACAGTGGAAGGCTGATTTCTTCTGCTATAATTGTCAGTGGTGTTTGATGTAGTGATTTATTAGTCTTTGTCTTGTTAAACAAGACAAAGATGTTAGGGGTCTATCAGGAGTCCAGGTGGGCTTGGCTAGCTGTGGCCATCCTTAGCTGGTGACGTTAGCTCAGGATGTGGGAAAATTATTAATATCATGTCCTCTTCTGTTTACTTTTGACAATAAACGTTGCAAATCTGAGTTTCTGGCTCAAAGTTAGATTGCAAGCATTCAACCAGTTTCAAGTCTGAGGTGACTTTGGTGTCTAGGTGCTGGGTCAACCAACAGCCAGACTTACCTTGTTCTTTAAAACCAGTGAGTCACTTACATAACTGTAACTCCTGTACATCCCCCTTACAATAAACCAGTGAGTCAGTTATATAACTGTAACCCCTGTACATCACCTTTACAATAAACCAGGGAGTCACTTATATAACTGTAACCCCTGTACATCACCTTACAATAAACCAGGGAGTCACTTATATAACTGGAACTCCTGTACATTACCTTTACAATAAAATTTTTTAAAAATAGAGACAAAAAAGAAAGCCCTATAATCATGCTGGAGAGGAGAAAGCGCAGTGCTCTGACTGGTGGGGTGGGGATAGCCAGTCCTGGCCACTTCTTATTGTTTAGACCCAACAGTGTGACTGTCCCCCAGCTCCCCATCCGTTTGTTGTGATGGCTTTTTTAAAATGTCCACTTACAATGGAATAAACTAAGATGCTGATTTTGCTCACCTCTGGTTCCCTACGGAGGGGTATGTTGCAAGAATGTGGAGGTATGAGCATCTGGGGGCTAGGGGAGAAGGATGTGGTTGCTGAGGAGGCTCAGTGTTTCCCAGGCAGATTTGTGTAGTGAACTCCAATGAAAGTGGGTAAAAAGAAACCACACACTTTACACCTGACCGACCTATGGTGTGTGATGCTCCATTCCAACCCGCTGGGGTCGTCCTGACTGCTCTCCTGCAAGACGACAGAACTGTTGTCAGACCTCAGCATCAACTGTGAAACCAAAATATCCTCTGATATCAAGTTGCCCATAAAGCTTTTTCCTCAAAGTCTTCTGTGCTCTCAGCTCCCTCTTCCCTCCACATACACATATATGTGCACACACGTGCATGCACACACAGAAGCTCTGTCCCTCTGGGGACATGAGCTTGGCTTACACTTCAAGACCATGAACTGCAGGTGGCTGAGGTGGAGAATGTTCGGGGCTTGCTGAGGGTTGGCTGACAGACAGGGGTGTGATGCCTTGGGCTGGGTCCCCACCAGCATCTCAGAGTCTCTGGGCCCTGGTTGGCTCTTTACCCTGCCCACTGTACCATCACCTTCATGTGGGACAGCTCACCCGTGAGCAGCACAGCAGTCATGAGCCAAGGGCTGTGCCAGGGCACCGTGCCACAGGCAGGGCTGGGCTGTCCTGCACCCAGCCCCCGGGAGGCACCAGCTCCGACACACATAAGGAGAGTAAGAGCCACGTTCAACTCACTGGCTTCTCCTCTGCACTCCTGGGTGAGTCCACTGGGGTAGGTCTTGTTTGCTAAGTGGTTTTACGAGCATATAATCACAGATGGTCAAAAGTATCCCTTCAGGCTCCAGTCCAGAGGGTTCCGGCAAATGTACTTTTGCAACTTCTGTAGTCTGCTGCAGAGGCCCGCAGGTCCTCACGGAGCTCGCCCGGTTTGTAAGACAGTGAGTGCACATACACGTGAGCCTGTAAACATGTGTCCACGTGAATGCACATGTGATGCCCAAGCCTTACACCACGTTTCAGATCAGCGTTGCGCTGCCCCCCCCTGCCCCCATAGCATCCACGCACCCACCGCCCCCACCGCCGCCACCACCCCTTGTGTCCAGGTGAAGCTCTGTTCAGGACAGAGAGAGGAGGGGAGGCTGTGGGCAGTGCTGTGCCGCGCTCAGACCCGGGCAGGGCTGGAGCTGAGGTCCAGCGCTCCGGAGAGGTGGGTCCCTTCTCAGGCCTGCACTTGGTGTGGGATGGTGGCAGGCTCTGAGGCCAGCCACGTCTTGGTAGCCACACCACGGCGGCTCCGCCAGTTTCCAGCTTAAGGAGCTGCTTGGTCACCTGGACCTCCCTCGGGGATGAAGTTGTTACTCTAGCATCACCTCTGATCCATCTTTGTCTTTGCTCTTACAGGCACTAGGAAGCTTTTACTTTCTTCACGAATCCCTAAAAAACATCTACCAGTTTGACTTTAAAGGTAAGACTCTACACCATCTTCTGGGGTCTGCCTTGGTGTCACCCTGTCTTCCAGAGAGGGCTTGGGTGTCAAGGGTTGATGTCCTTTGGGAGCAGTCACTAGCCAGGGATGCCTGTGAAGACTTGGTTGCTAGCTTCTCCAACATGGACTTGGGCTCTGGTCCCAGCCCACCCGCCCTCCTGCGCCACACACCAGCTCTTCTGTAGGGGCTAGTGGAGAAGGGGGTAGTTTTCTGTGTTCCCATGGAAAAATGTGAAGAAGAATTGAAGCAGAACCAGTGGCTTGTGTATGTCAAACACAGAAGTAGACAAAAGTGTGCAGGTGGAAAACGCTAACCCTTGTGTAATGGCCACTGATATGTTTGCCATTTGTCAGAGACAACCTGTCCACCATCCCAGACACCCCTTCTGACACAGCCTCTACTCCACATGTCACCTTGCGTCTCAGGGACATTTGCTCTTCAGGTGAGAGGGACTTCCTTGTGAGCCCTGTCTGTCTATGGGACATGGGTGTGTTGCTGACCATTGGATACCTTGTCTCCTACTATATGTGAACTGTCCTGAACTCCATGTTAGTGCAGGGCCAGATCACATCATGTTGAAGTGTCTTAAGAGTTATAATAACGGTGAGAGGTAACTAATTGTTAGCTGGCTCCAGTCTGGCCTTTTGCTCATGGCCCCTCAGGAAGCTGGGGGCATCTCCTCTGCTTTGCTTGAGCAAAGATTCTGTCACAGGGAGAGAAGTTCCTGGCCAGGACTGTGACTCCCCTGCCCTCTTGGCTGAGGGTTCTTCAGATATGCAGTAGCAGCACCCAGCATCTACACTGAGGATTGTGGCTGGAGTGACATGACTGGAGCCACTCCTCTGTGGCTCCTCTGTGCTCCTCTGTGGCACTGTTAGCTGGATCCACGGCTCCGTAGACGTGAGACCATTGTTAGATTCCACGGCTCCGTAGACGTGAGACCATTGTTAGATTCCACGGCTCCGTAGACGTGAGACCATTGTTAGATCCCACGGCTCCGTAGACGTGAGACCGTTAGCTGGATCCTCATGAGATTTCTGGAGCCGCTCTTCTATGGTTCCATAGAAGTAAAAAAAAATTAATGCCTCTTCTACCAAGTTAAGAAAAGTGAGGGATGGAGGAGTTGGTGCGAAGGCTGAGAAGGGTGATGTGATGGAGATGCACTGTAGACACAGACTTCTTTGGTGAATGGTAACTCCTTTGTACAACTACTTAAAGATATATAATTAAAAATAAATTTGAATATCAGAAGGGGGATCTGAATCTGTAGAACTTCCCTTTTTTGTGAGGGTCTAGGGCCTTCTACTCAGGGCCTAGGCACTGTCCCTCAGGTTTTTTGCTTTTTGTTTTTTGTGTTTTTTTCTTCTCAAGGCTAGTGCTGTACCACTTGAGCCACAGCTCCATTTCTGGCTTTTTGGTAATTTTTTGGACATGAGTCTCACAGAGTTTCTTGCCCGGGTTGGCTTCAAACTGTGATCCTCGGATCTCAGCCTCCGGAGTAACTAGGATTATAAGCATGAGCCACTGGCACATGGCACACTTTCTCCTTTTTAAGAAACTGCACATATATATTTTACTGCTAAGTGAAATGAGTCGAAGTAACTGAGTAGGCCATCATCTGTTTAGAACAGCAATTTAGATCCATATAGAGCTCCAGCAAACCTTACCAGTTTAGATACACACGAAACTCCAGGAAATCTTACCAGGGGACTTCATGTTGTCTATGCCGCAGAAGTGGGCTGGTGGGCAAAGTGTGCTCAGCACCTGTTTCTGATTCTGTGTTGGTTCCAACACGCTCACAGCGGCCTGGCTGAATCTGTGTTGGTTCCAACACGCTCACAGCGGCCTGGCTGAATCTGTGTTGGTTCCAACACGCTCACAGCGGCCTGGCTGGTGCCTGGGGCTGCTGATCCTTTCACAGATGTGTCACTGGGCTCTTGGAATGGGGCACGTTTGTCCCTGTGACTCACAGCATCACTCTTCTGGCTTGAATGTGCTTATGGCAGGGCAATAATTTATAAGCAGTTTGAACAAACTCTTAAAGTAATTTCCTGAATTTTAAACCAAGAAACTTGTTGCAAAATTAAGGACTCTGCAAAGGTACATATAACAAGCAAGGAGGACTTCCAGTTTTGGTCCATCGTGAGGAGTTTGAATGCCTGGCTCCCGTTCTCACAGAACGACGCTGAATGGGCTGAGGGCAGAGCCCCTTTGAGACCCTATAGGGATTTGGGCCGTGGAGCAGCCACTGTCCTGAGTAGGCAGGTAGCCACAGGAGCAGCGTGCCACCAGAGCCCACAGCTGAGGCTCATTGGACAGGAGGGTAGAAAGCGCTAGCTTTGAAGAGAACTCTGAGATGCCCATGTGTGAGTTTCTCCCCAGGAGCCGGGCCCTGCCCTCCTGGTCAAGGTGGGGCACCCCCTCCTTGACGGGGCCTGCCCCCACCCCTGCCCCCGGGAGCTACACCACTGGAACCACACAGCCCAGAGGGCAGTTCTCTGGCTTTCCTCTCCCATGATGGGAGGCGAAGACACTTGTGTGCAGGTCATGGCTGGGAGCACAGGCCTGCAGGAGGACTGAGACTTTCTTTGCTCACACAGAGTGTAAGAAGATCTCTCACAGGAAGTCCACTGACAGCAGAGAAGACAAGAACAGTAAAAGAAAGTTGCAGGCCTGGCACCTCACCCACAGCACACAGCCGTTGCCCGGGACTGGCCAGAACAATATGAGACTGCGCTCCAAAGGCCTCCACCTCAGCTTCTCTTACCAGGTCATGTTCTGCCGTCAACAGCAAAGTCACCATGCTAGAAGGTAAACATTGCACACAGAGTGCCAGACCAGCCCTTCAACCCAGACTCAGATAGGACAGACATGGGAGCTTAAAATGGCTGATTGCAGTACCACGGGCACTAATGCAGAAAGAGAATGAGAAGAAGAAAGCGAAGTGGAGCAGTGCCAGGTGGTTGCTCAGACGTCAGAGAACCTGCAGAGAGGGCAGATGTGCAACAGAACAGCCTGGCTGTACAAAGCAGGAGGAGGGTCTGTGACGGAATAAAGGAAGGTTTGGGATGCAATTGAAGGGAGCTGGGCTGTAACTGTCATGTGACTGCAATGTGATAGACGTGGAGTCTGGTGTGACGTTAGAAAGACCTTTGCTGATACAGGCCTGCAACAGAGGCAGCTCTAACGAAGTGGCATCTGTGGGCAGCAGAAGTGATGCCTGTGCAACAAGTCGAAGAATTGCACGCAGCTGCAGAGCTCCTGCACGGCAAAGGACATAGCTAGAAAGACTGGGAGAAGACCTTCACTAGCCATACAACAGACAAAGGTCTCATATCTAAAATATACTTAGAACCCCCAAAATTAAATCCCCCAACAACAAATCTTCAAAGAAACAACTGCCTGATTAATAAGTGGGCTAAAGACTTAAAGAGAGACCCCTCCAAAGAGGAAATAAGAATGGCCAATAGACACATGAAAAAATGCTCAACCTCTGTAGCCATAAAAGAAATGAAAATCAAGACAATATTGAAATTCCTCTCACCCCAGTTAGAATGGCTATAATCAAGAACTCTAATCACAACAGATGCTGGAGGAGATGTGGACAGAAGGGAACCCTACTGCATTGTTGGTGGGAATGTAAATTTGTTCAACCACTTTGGAAAGTAGTATGGAGGTTCCTCAAAAGACTTCACATAGAGCCTAGGACCCAGCAGTCCCACTTTTGGGCATTTACCCAAATGATCACAAGACCACACTAAAGCTACCAGCACAACTATGTTTATTGCAGCATTATTTACCATAGATAATATATGGAACCAACCCAGATGCCCCTCGGTAGATGAATGGATCAAGAAAATGTGGTATATATACACAATGGAATTCTATGCCTCCATCAGAAAGAATGACATTGCCCCATTTGTTAGGAAATGGAAAGACTTGGAAAAAATTATATTAAGTGAAGTAAGGCAGGCCCAAAGAAACATAGGTCTCATGGTTTTTCTTATTTGCAACAACTAGTATATGTCTAGGATAAGCAGAAAAGGCCAAAAGCTATGCCCATATGACCAATAAGACGATGCTAAGTGAAATGAACCCCAAAATAGGGACATGAGGTTTTATTTTTCTTGCGTTGTTTTTAATGTACTTATAATATACTAGGTGATTTTTTTTGTTCTTTTGTATGTTCTTCCCCCATGATATAACCCCTGTTTTCACTGTAGTTGATTCCAGTGCCCTGCAGATTTTCTAATTTGGGGAGAGGAAGGGAAATAACAAAATGCTGAAATTAGGATACAGGCTAACCCATTGAGATGTACAAGACACTGTCTTGAAAACGAACTTTACAACTTCAGGGGGTGTGGGAGTTGGGGAGGTGGGGAGGGAAGGGATGGTACAGGAAAACAAAGGAGGGGGTAACAATGCTCTGTAGAAAATGTGCTCATTACCCTACTCATGTAACTGTAACCCCTCTGTACAGCATCTTTACAATAAAAAATACGTATAAAAAAAGAACAGAAAAGTGACATGTGATGTGACAGAAGCGACGTCTGTGATGTGACAGAAGTGACGTCTGTGTGTGACAGAAGTGACATCTGTGTGTGACAGAAGTGACATCTGAGTGTGACAGAAGTGACGTCTGAGTGTGACAGAAGCAACGTCTGTGACAGAAGTGACGTCTGTGTGTGACAGAAGTGACGTCTGTGTGTGACAGAAGTGACGTCTGTGACAGAAGTGATGTCTGTGTGTGACAGAAGTGACGTCTGTGTGTGACAGAAGCGACGTCTGTGACAGAAGCGACGTCTGTGTGTGACAGAAGTGACGTCTGTGACAGAAGTGACGCCTGTGTGTGACAGAAGCGACATCTGTCTGTGACAGAAGCGACGTCTGTGTGTGACAGAAGCGACGTCTGTGACAGAAGTGACGTCTGTAACAGAAGTGACGTCTGTGTGTGACAGAAGTGACGTCTGTGACAGAAGTGATGTCTGTGTGTGACAGAAGTGATATCTGTGTGTGACAGAAGTGACGTCTGTGACAGAAGCGACGTCTGTGTGTGACAAAAGTGACGTCTGTGTGTGACAGAAGCGACGTCTGTGTGTGACAGAAGCGACGTCTGTCTGTGACAGAAGCGACGTCTGTGTGTGACAGAAGCGACGTCTGTCTGTGACAGAAGTGACGTCTGTGTGTGACAGAAGCGACGTCTGTCTGTGACAGAAATGATGTCTGTGTGTGACAGAAGCGACGTCTGTCTGTGACAGAAGCGACGTCTGTGTGTGACAGAAGTGACGTCTGTGTGTGACAGAAGTGACGTCTGTGACAGAAGTGATGTCTGTGTGTGACAGAAGTAACGTCTGTGTGTGACAGAAGTGACGTCTGTGACAGAAGCGACGTCTGTGACAGAAGTGACGTCTGTGTGTGATAGAAGCGATGTCTATCTGTGACAGAAGCGATGTCTGTGTGTGACAGAAGCGACATCTGTGTGTGACAGAAGCGACGTCTGTGTGTGACAGAAGCGACGTCTGTCTGTGACAGAAGCGACATCTGTGTGTGACAAAAGCGACATTTGTGTGTGACAGAAGTGACGTCTGTGTGTGACAGAAGTGACGTCTGTGTGTGACAGAAGCGACGTCTGTGTGTGACAGAAGTGACATCTGTGTGTGACAGAAGTGACGTCTGTGATGTGACAGAAGTGACGTCTGTGTGACAGAAGCGACGTCTGTGTGTGACAGAAGTGACATCTGTGTGTGACAGAAGAGACATCTGTGTGTGACAGAAGTGACGTCTGTGTGTGACAGAAGTGATGTCTGTGTGTGACAGAAGCGACATCTGTGTGTGACCGAAGTGACGTCTGTGATGTGACAGAAGTGACGTCTGTGTGTGACAGAAGTGACGTCTGTGTGTGACAGAAGTGACATCTGTGTGTGACAGAAGTGACGTCTGTGATGTGACAGAAGTGACATCTGTGCGTGACAGAAGTGACATCTGTGTGTGACAGAAGTGACGTCTGAGTGTGACAGAAGTGACGTCTGTGTGACAGAAGTGACGTCTGAGTGTGAAAGAAGTGACGTCTGTGTGTAGCAGTAGTGACGTCTGTGTGTGACAGAAGTGACGTCTGTGTGTGACAGAAGTGACGTCTGTGTGACAAGCGACATCTGAGTGTGACAAGCGACGTCTGTGTGTGACAGAAGTGACGTCTGTGTGTGACAGAAGTGATGTCTGTGTGTGACAGAAGTGACATCTGTGTGTAGCAGTAGTGACGTCTGAGTGTGACAGAAGTGACGTCTGTGTGTAGCAGTAGTGACGTCTGAGTGTGACAGAAGTGACGTCTGTGT